TCATCTCTTGTTCTCACGATGTTCGTTTTCGAACGTGTAGACTCTTGATTAATACACTTCCATATGAAGAGGACTTCCAATTCAAATTGAGGGGATTACTGTATTTTCCTCAAGAGTCCGATCATGATCAGAGAATGTTCGATCATGATGAACAGCCTGAGAAGGTCGGATTCTTGTTTGTTGAAAGAATCGACCTGGATGAGACCCTCTTCGCGGGTTTAGCACCGACCCTCGGGTTCCTTGTGGCCCAGTGTTTGATTCTTGGTGAAAACCGGAAAAAGTACAGGTGTACCCACTGTTCTGAACACTGCAGACTACTGCAGACCTGCCAGCGTGAATGAACTTGCTCGAGAATTCGACGTGTCTGTCCTGGCTATCAGTCACAAGGATCACAAGTTTGCGACGACTTGCGGCGCGCGAGCATCGCATCCGCTGGTTCCGCGCAGCTGCCGTGAACGCGCAGTCGAGTTTTCAAGCACAGTCCTTTTGTCAATTCAGGTGAAAGCGGGATGCTTGTACCCAGGCCTTCCATGTATGGAATAGTTGCCTACATTAGGGTCACTTTCATGGAGTCAATGTAAATAAACAGTTCCATACATGGATGGTCTGGGATACTTCGTTTTGCAGACAGCAGGACTTGGTTGTGAGCCGTGTGGGCCCCTGTTTGGAATGAGCGCCTGTCATGCACGCTTCAGGTGCTTGCTGTACAGCAGGCTGTGGCACCAAGTCCACTCCAGCTGCGTCCTGCGGGGAAAATGTCGCGGGTTCTTGTGCCAGTGAGCGGGGCCGTTTCCACGGTGGCACGGTGGGTTGCTTTGTAATTCCACGGTGGGTTTCAACAGGAATCAAGCATTATTCGCTGGGTGCTTTGCAATTCCTAAGACTCCAACTAGATACCTCCGTGTTGAAGGTGGTTGGGGTGGACTTTTGGGGGTCTAAGTACCATCTGAGGGGGCAAGCAACAATGGTGGGTCTGTGTTTTGAACCAACGGGTTTTCGTGAATTGTCCTTCTTTCAAGGGGGTCTTTGTGGGGGGTCGACCTATCCCAGACACGACTAATGGGATTGCCATAGGACTGCCGATCAGGCCGGGGGTGGTACCAGGGGGGTCAATATATGGCATACATGGAGTGTTTGGGTATTTGAATACACACCAAGACAAGGATCCTCCTGGACATGGGTGTCCTGGCGTTCGACTACCCTACCGTCAACAGGTCTCCTACTCCGCACCCGGACAGGAAGTGCTAGGTACACACCCACTTGGATCCACGATTCTGCTCCGTTGAGTCTCACCGAACGTTCTCTTCAGGAGTTCGAACGCCATCAAGGAGTTCTTACGCTGAGTTCCGGATGAAGGAACGTCCCACAACCATCGAACCGGACTGGAATAGTGACCAACATGGATTGACTATCATATATCCCTAGAGCTCCAGTCGTACCTCCTCAGAAGGTGCTTGGACCCTCCAAACCGACCCCAAACACCTTCTCAGAAGGTACTTGGAGCCCTAGGGTGTATATATATATATGTATATGATATAACCCTAAGAATCATTGGACCCGACCACTTCTGGAGGGCTTTGACCCTGCAGAACGCAGGGGTCTGGACCTGAACCAAACCTTCACCGAACGGGTCGGGTTCTTGATTCTAACAGGAAAGCATCTGAACACCACCGCCCCCCCACGCTCTGGTCCATTTTCCAGCTCTTCTGGGCGCCACTGTAGCGCGTACCTCTGAGGTCACGGGACTCGCGCGGAACCAAGCCTATGAGATCTTGATCGAGGAGGTGTCCCATTTTCGGATCCGTCCTCCGGTTTTGGACGAAGCAAACCGCAGTTCACACGGTCCGGATTTGGGAGGTGGCAGCATTGACCCAGGCTATCACACTGGGTCCAGTGTGGCCTACATTTCGGTGAGTGGCCTACAGGTTTCTTTTTCCTGAACATCTATACATAACTATTCGATAACTATAGCAAACGTGGAGTTCTTTGGGTCAAGCGGTTTCTTAACATCTGATGAGATGGCACGAAGAGGACTCGGGTGGGGACGGACAAGCGGAGTCTCAGTTTGGATCAGCTGGGACATAGCAGGGTGTTACTTGAATGTCTACATATCCTGGACAAAGCATTGTCTCTACATGTTGGAAGACTTTGGAAGAGATTCACACACCCTCACACTGAAGTTCTGTTCTTTGTTTCGGACATAAAAAAAAATATATATATATCATATATAAATATTATATCATTGTCATGAGTTCTCATGATCCCCTCTCGTCACTCAACCCTGTGCCGCTGAGTCTGTGACGCACCTCACCGCACCAGTGCGGTCGATCTGATTTGGGTCGGTTTCATCGTTGTGAACACCCTTCTGTAGGTGGACTACCATCCTGTGGGTCGTCCATATGGTTTCTCGTGTTTTTTCTGTCGTGTTTTTCCTTGCCATGACCCAGAGCCTGCTGTGAAACTTGGGTCATGGTGGACCCTTGGAGAGGTCATGAAGCGGTCACCACTTGATGCAAGACCAGTTCAGTTTAGCTGATTTGCAGTGGATATCTAACATTTCAGGGAGATGGGATGAAGTGTTGCCCCCCCAAACCCGAGACATCAAGAAATGGCTTCATGGATAAAATGAACAGCTTGCACTTTTCAGAGAGATAAGGACAAAGGACATCATGAACAAATCAGAGGATATCATGATGTGTTGTTGCTCATCATGTATATCAGCATGGATCCACTTTTGATCGATCCCAGAAGCGTCCTGTCAGCAAAACCGTGCTCCTCGCCCTCGGTCAAAGAGGATCATCAACTGTTTGGGAAGAAAGGCTTGACGAAGGACCCAAACCATCCGAAGCATCCTCCGAAGCAGCATGCGGAAAGCTGAGCTGATGGGTCCTGAGAGATACCGGGTGCACGGCAGAACGCGCCGGCCGCGTGCGTCGTTTCCAGAAGCAACGCGCCGCCTTCGGAGGCATGTGAGAACCCGTGGTCCTTGCCCAGCCTTAGCAACGCCAGCGCGGTCTTTTGGACCCTGTCACTGGGCCGAAGAACGAAAATCCACCGACAGGAGGGATCACATCTGTGCTTTGTGTACTCTCGATATCTCTCATTTTGTGGGGAAGACCATTTGATCCTTTTTTGGCATTGCTTATTCTGAATCTTTTTGGGGGGAGGAACTGGCTGCTCAAAACCAGCTGTTGAACCCTGGAAGGTTGACCTGGCTCATCTGTTCATGTTCGGTCGGCCCCCGGTCGGTCAAAACCGGAGGGGGACAGTCTAGCCGGTCGGCCGGTGGTGTTGGGCCGGCTTTTGTGAGGCTTTGGAGTTGGATGCGTTAGACAAAAACGATTGTAAAATATCTTTATATCCCAGACACGACTAATGGGATGGCCATATATGCCTATACATTGGGGTGGTTTGGGGGGTCAATGTAGGGATATATGGCGTACAGTATGGCATACATGGAGCGCCTGGGTATGGAAGCTGATGTTTATCAACAGTCTATATTGAAGATATATTTATGGGTGGATTTGGTGGCTTTTGTCGGTGCACAGAGTGCTGAACGTACCTGCTGATTTCGTTTCACCAGAAGTCTTCGACGTAACGCTTAAGCTGTTCCAATCCGTTGTTGCGCAGTCAAGAGCTCATGCCCTAAAGGGCTAATGCATTCGTTGAGTCAAGCTCTTAACCGTTACTCTTGCGAGCTATCTATCTAAGTGTGTGTGTGTGTGGATCCCGCAGCCGTAGGAAGGGTGACCAGAGTTGTGGCCGGGTGGTTCATACCAGGACACGCGAGAGTGATGCGCTTCAGATCACTTGTTATACACGGGGCTGTACATGAACACGCCGAAACGGGGGCTCCTGAAGCTCCTGGCACGTACATGTGAAATCATGTCAAATCTTTAGAGTATACGTACTAGAATAGAGATGGCAAGCTTGGCTTGTCATGGACTGAAGACGAAAAAAGTTCTAATTAACCTCAATTCTATGTTAATTCTATGTATTTCTTGTTTCTAATGGCTCCTTGTTCCTAGTAAGGCCAGGAGCCCCGAACGTAGCGATGCCCTTTGATGCTCCGTTCGTTTGCGCTCGCTCAGGCCGGGGGAGTGGAGCACCTTCATCGGCACCAGCGACCAGCACACGGCGGGGGTCGACCCCGCGGTAGCAACCCGCTGGGTTTCAGCGGGGTTGGAGGGTGAGAGAGTTGAGCTGGAGGGTAGGTGTTCTGCGGTTTTCTGCGGTTTTCTGCGGTTATTTTTCTGCTGTTGGAGGGTAGGCGAGTGGTTTTCTGCGGTGTTCCATGGTCTTCTATTTTCCTGAGTTCCATGTTATACCCTGGGGCTCCAGTCGTACCTCCTCAGGTTCGGTGTTTGGGCCCTCCTGGCACCCACCCCAGTCCCACCTTCTCACAAGGTACGAGATAGTGAGTCTGTGTACCTTCTCTTTTCGGGTTCAGCTGGCTGTGAGGGGGCAGCGACGCGGAATCGGTTGAAAGGCGTTCACATCCGTGGAGCTGACTCAGGGCACTATGAGAGCAACCACAGGTATTTCCCATATGGGCGACTCCCTGGAATCATCATGCCGAAGTCGCGGTCCACCATTGTTTGAATAGCCAGGTCATCCCGAAGCACCATTGTTTTACGGTTTTACACGCTAAACACCAGGTCGTTCCCATGTTTTTGAATGGTCGTTCACGGAAGTCAACGGTGCATGGTTGTCTTTTCATGGCACGGCCCCCAAGACTCGAATGAGCCATGAAATCCGAAGTCAAACAGGTGGATTTTTCCCTTCGAAAGACTCCATCCACATGTATACCGACGGCAAAGCAATGGGTCATGGTGAATTTGCGGGGTTTGGATTTCTTGGCCGATGTGATTTCGAACGGAGATGTTCAGCGCATTTGACCCACCAAACTTGGTGAAGGGTTGAGAGATTCTCAAACACCCACCGTGGGGCCAAGTTTGAGACCCCTGTTCTGTCTGGAGGTCTCCTTGACCTTGTCTGCCATGCCATCGCGATGCTACGTGCAGAAGGTGCGGTGTGGTCTTTGGGCTGCTGCATTCTCTTTGGAAGAAAAGATTCAGAGAGAATCAAGCAGTCGAACGGGGTTGAGTATATTCCTTGATAATCCTTGATACTTCTTGATCCTTTGTATCGAAATCTAATGATATTGATATTGTTTTTGTTTTTGTTGCATCTATTTCCCATTTTGGGTGTTGGAGACAGCGCCGCGCCCAGCACCGCAGCGCGCTTCATGCACCGCCAGCCGCCTATCCGTTCCCGTCTGCCGCCTTGACGAACGATCGAATCCGATGGACATCAGACAGACCAGGAATGCTGTGCGGATGAATTCTTCCTTTGTCACGACAGCAGCGACAGACGGGAACCCCAGATGCATGTGCACCATTAGGCGAGGGAGTGTGGTGTGGTGAGCAGGTGGTGAGGTCAGAGATCCGGGAGAGGTCAGAGAAAGCCTTGAGTTGCTGCCACGAAGCGTAGATTCTTGGACCTCGCATCATCGCAGGGTTCAAGGTACACATCGCCTCTGAAACCCTATGAGCTCTCGCAAGGACGACTTACTGCATACAATACCAGATAGACAACTTGAGACACCGAGGTCGCCTCGTGCACGTGACCCGCGCGGACGTGCCTGGGGGCTGGGGCCAACGGCTCAGCCTGGAGTGCGTCCGGGCAGCCGAGCGACGGGCAGTCCTGACTTTTGGGGCTTTGGATGGGTTCAGAGGCCAGTCCGGTCTGGTATTTTTGGTTTGGTGGTGGGCCTGGTGGGTTGCGGATGTTTTCTTGATGGGTGCTGCTTTTGGTGTTGAACTCTTTGGAAGCGGCCAGGCGAGATTTTTCTTTTTGGGGGGAAGCTACAGGGAGTAAGTGTCTTCCCAGGTGTGTTTTCGTGTTTGGGGCAGTCATTGATCCTCCTCGTTGGATACGGCTGCTTCCAAGACGTTTCCCTGCACGTCCTGCAGCAGAGCTCTGGACACGAAAACCATGAATCCACTCTATAAAGTACTGACTATATGACCATGAACAATCCATGTAAATATCTCCATTCTTTTTCTAGGAGGGAAGCTGATGTTTTTTTCAGTCCACATATATAGGTTATGTGACATGGTTCATGTCACATAGAGACACATCAATCCCCTGAATCGGCCCAAAGGCGATCCCTTGGCCGCGGGGAGGAGGATGGACTGGCGCCACCGGGCCATGGCTCCTGTCCATGGCCTGTTGGCGCGTCTACGAAGTGGGTACTTGGCACAGACTTCCATGGTGCATTCCGAAACTGGAAAGTCCAGTTATAGCTACTATTTCAACATCAGAGTTCTTAGAGGATCCGTTGCCCCCAGTTGCAGGTCAAGGAACGTTCTCGAAATCAGGTACTCTCTTAGACTCTATACTCAGACCATTTATTGGAACGGTCGACTGGAGTTTGCAGGGTTGTTAAGGGGCTACTATGGTGGAGTTTTCGGGACTGAAGGAGATGAAAAACGAGATACTTCACGCCTGGCAAGACCCTGAAGGCCTCTCTCGCAAAGTTTTGGACATGTGGGGTTGAAGGTTCCCTAGTAGCTTCTTGTTGCCAGTAATACGTCCAGGAGCCCCGTTCGTAGCGTCCGAGGGTTCTAAGGTGCCTCCGCCTTGAGGTGCAGCCGGCCCTGTCGGCCATCTCCCTGCGGCCTCAGCTCCAGGACCGCGCGCATCTGGTCGGACGGGTCCCGGTTCCATGCGGTGGGTTCCACACCTGGCATCCGGAACATGCACGAGACATGCACAGTGCACACATCTGCAGGCTTTCAAGGTGGTTTTTCCACCGTCTCATCGAAGAACCCAAACAGAGGCATTTGTTCGCCCGACCAGCAGATGCGCTGGTTCCATCACCCGAACCGAAGATCTGGTGAATCTGGTGAATCTGATGTGGAGAAAAAGTGCCATGCGCAGGGCCATTAGGCCACCCCTTCGGTCGATGTTTCTTGGTCCTTCGGTCCAAGCGTTAGACGTCGTGGCGGTTTGAAGCTGCAGATCGGTCACAGGAACCTGGAATCTCGTTCTGTGTATTTCAATAGGGAGACCCCCCACCACGGGGGTTTGGTCTATTTACTTTCTTCCAGGGGTCTTTGAGAGGTCTCCCTATTTTCATACACACCCTTCGATCAATGTAAAAGAAAGATGAACAGTAAAAAAAACACGACCTTGGCCGTGGTTGTCACAGTAAGTATACAAGTGTCACATCAGTGGCACAAGATGGCACAAGTACCACAGCCTTTGTTCGAGTCTGCCAACTTAGTAACAAGATAGAAATGCAAAGGGTATGAATGGGTATGTTATGAAGCAGCCACCTGAAACACTTTAGTTCTTCGTCACCGAACTTGATCTACTGGTTACTTTGGTCATCGCCTGTTTGACAAGGTCACCAAGCTTAGACCATCGACCTTGATCACAAAGGGAAGAAGCTGAGTTAATAGTCATTCAACATATTCTGTTGTACCTGCTGAGAACATCTAAAAAAGAATACAAAAAGAAAAAAACTGGTCTAACTCCATGACTCATACCATTGTTATCAAGTCAACTCTACTTTCTCCTTCACCTCTCAAAAGGTCGTAACCCGACACTGGTCGTCCCTCGGGTCGTCCACGTTTCGCGACCACGATCGGACCCGCCGACCGGTTTCAGCGGTCGCCGACTCACGAGGCGATCGGACCCGAGTCGTTGCTCTTGGCGCCACGAGACAATCAATCAGCGCCTCGGGGCGGACGACGGCACGCGCGGCGTGAAACGAAAGGATGGACAGGGGCGATGGGATGGGATGGTGGGACAGGGGTGTGGGTGGTGCTCTGATACATGGCCCTATATAGGTGCACCATAGATTGTCCTTAAGATACATGTAGCCATGTTGCTTTCAATGAGATGAGATCTTGTTTTTGGGAGATCCTTGGCCTCCACCTGGCAAGATTAGCTGTTGATGGCAAAGTGGCAGCATCTAATGGCTGGATCTTGGCTCATTGGTATAGCTTCACTTTGGTTGGTTCCTCCTATTTTGCTATTTGGGAATGGTTTGCCATCTGCAGAATGTCTTTGGGAGAGCTGAAATCATCAGAGTGGTGCTTCTCCCATCGGTGCTAGTCTTGACATGTGGGTTGACCCCAAGTGTTTGCGGCTTTCGCTAGGGTTCGAGCGTCGTCCAACCCGTCTCTCTCCCTCTCTCTCTGCTTGGTGCTCAAAAGACCAGTCCAGCGGTGATGAAAGACCACCCTCTTTCGTTGCGACCCGAGATGGCGAAATTCATCTGATACCCAGATGCGACCCATTCGGCCCCGAATGCTTTGGAGGGCTTCGGACCCGAATCCGAACTCGGTCAGGGGTCTGGGTTCGTCACCAATCTGAGGGACCAGTCGCGCTGCGAACGCTCAGCATTCGGGTTGCCTTCAATTCCTGTCATTTCTTTGGACCGGAAACACAGGGGCACCTGCCCCTGTTTCAGTCCGCACGTATGTCATGTTGGAGTCATGTTTCGGCCAGCACCTACGGGTGGCAAGAGAACGTAAAACCATGCAGTTCTCACGATCTTTCTGGTAGAACCGCGGATCTCTGAGAAGTGATGCAACCAGATACGACTGAAGCTTCATGAAGCTTCCATGCGGTGCTTCCGATGGCCCATTAAGACCACTCCCATCGCATGGCCGCAACTGGCTAAGGTCACCGTGGTGCACCCCTTGCGTTTGGCTGGTGGTCTGGCAGGCATGGGGGGCAGCGCAGGGCTTCAAGGGGTTCACCGGCGGTTTGGCAGGCGTGTGAACTGAACAGCCCGTTTTTATAATCGGTCTCTTGGTATCATGTTCTTTCTTTGCGGTCACAAACTCAAGAGCTTCCTCTAGGAAATTTCAGGGCGGCTCACACCACACGGCACTTTGAAGTTGGAAGAATTGCTTTCCTTCCCCTGTCTTCATAGATAAGACGAAGAATGGCCCACATCACGGAATCCTAGAGCCCGGCATCACATCGTCGGACCCTTAGGAGGTTGGTCGGATTGACGTAACCCTTCCACTTTGGTTCCTTAAAGAAAAAGGCAGTTTTCGGCGCTTCTGACGTGAGGCTGTTAGGCTAACTGCCTAACGAAAGTACAGTAAGTTGAAAGGAGTTAGTGTTTTTTGTTTCTTTCGCCAGGCAAAAGCACATGCACTAACTACCCATACGACATGTTCTGAGCGCATAAGAACTGCAAGTTGCCAGTGTCCGCTGTCCAACCGCCAAAACGGCTCTGAAAAGCTGCCGCCGTAAGTGTGGCCTTTGCTCCTCTTTCTCCCCGCTCAGCCGTTTTCCACCTCGTGGCCGTCAGGCTGCGAGTGTGCGGAGATCCTTGTGGAGTTGGCCGTCGAGGCGCAGTCGTCCGCGGTTCGGAACTGCGCCACCACCGCGGCGAGCGGCACGAGGGGGCGCACGCGGCAGATGTTTGGGAGAGTTGTGAGGAAAGGGAAATGATAGCTATAGCAGCTATAGCCACTTGCGTTTGTGGGCTATTTAATGTATACCATATGCGTATATATACCATGTAGGATTTCAACCATCATTGATGTCATGGTTGTGACCGAACGACCATTGCTTTACGAGGCCATCCATGTCATGGAACCGATCTGCAACTCACTGAAGACCAGGCCACCAGCGGCCGCACCGCTCGGCAGGGCTCAGAGACGTGGATCCCCCAAAGCGCGTGCAACGATTGGACCCTGCGAGAGCCCGGGGGCCTGGCCGTGGAAGGGGGTTGGGCCTGGTGGCTAAGAGGTGAGGGAAAGAATGGGAAGGGGGAGGGATACTAGTTCCATGTTGAAGACAATGGAAGTGTATGGTGCATGCATGGTTTCCGACGCGTGAATTCTCTCGCATATGCTCACAACTCCAGCGGACTCCAGCGCCTGACAGTGGCATGTTGTTGTAATGGAAAGGTTTTGAAGCTCAATCCTGTTCAATTCCCTCAATACCTCACATGGCAGAATCATGGCAGAATCCTGAATCCTCAATAGTCAGGTCCATAGTCTGGAACGAACATGCAAAAAGGTCGAAGTCGTTTTCACCGACCGAAAGGACAGTCGTTTCGCCACACCAAAAGTGTGGACTGTGTGTGGAAATTGCATTCATGAGCCAGACAAAAAGATGAAGAACTGCTGGGCCTCACGACGAGATCTTTCCATTTTGCCAGGGGGAGAACTTCTATAGAATACACTTGGCACCTGGACGAAGACATCACATGGTTACCTGGATGGCATGGGGTACTGGAAGACGACTTTCCTGGTACAAACAGGGGGTGCCATCAACCATGTGATGCGCGAGTATAACCGTGTAACCCTTAGCAGTTCCCTCTTTGAACCATCTCTCTGGATGGCGAAGCCGGCCTTTTGGATGGCGTTTGCGCTTCTCTAACTTTCCGCTTTCTTCCACATCCTCTGCAGATGAACCCTGATGAAGCATCACTGGATCTGGCGCCTCCTCCCCTCGATGGCCCAGGTGCGTCGTGGAACCTCTGGAAGCTGGTACCACCTACGAGGCCGGACCACCTGACGGGCGAGATCCGGATCACCGGCGGGCCGTTGAGGCTAGGCCGACATCACGGGGGCTTAGGCTAGCGCCTGCCACAACCCATCAGTATAGACGTTCACCTTTGGTTTAAGCAAGCTACCCAGCTTCAAGAGTGATGGGGTGACTTCAGGCATGGCAACTTCCTTAGCAGCACCCAGCCATGATCGCCATGATTGCAGACACCATAGCTTCTGAAGATGTCGGGCATCACTTGCTGATTTCGCGGTGTAGCACTCAAAGCTGATCCAAGCAGCTGCTGTGATTTGTGTCCTCCGCAGACTGAGTAGCCGAGTACCACAAGTAGCAGCACACTATGACCCCATCTCCTGCCAGCCCTGGAGCGCCATGAGGTGAAGAGCGCTCACCTGGCTCTTCGCATTGACACTTCGTACACCTCTTTGACGCTCTTTAACCGTGTCGGCTCTCAAAACGTCCCGGCCGCTACTATGAAGAACACACGCGCGAGTGATGAAGCGTCGACTAGTAGATAGAGGCCAAAAACGTTTGGACAGCAAACACCTCCATGATCGTGATCCTCCATCATCCTCCATATCAGTCTCAACAGCGCTACCGTTATGTTCTTTCAGACCTTTTTGAAGCCCTGCAGTGGTTCACCACTGATCCAGGCCACTGGTACAAGATCAGAACGAGTCCATTGGAGGGGATGGTTTCCCCCGTCCTCCACGACTGAACTCCTCACATGCCGAGGCCCCAACCACCCGCCCTATCCATCCGTGTCACGTCCGCTTTAGGGTCCGAAGCAAAACAGGCACGGAAGCTTCCGCACGCGGCAAACGGTGCCAGCGGGATTCCGTCAGCCGCGAAACGCTGAGCCGATGCCCACACAGAGCCGATCTATAAAGCCTTCGCAGAGTCCTTGGAATTGGGGTAAACCGATGCTCAGTGGCCGACTGTGAAGCCTAGGGTTGTTGGCGAAACGCTGAGCCGGCCGGCCCATGGATGTTCGTGCCACACACTCTGCAACGTAGGTGCACGTAGCACGTTCAGCCCTGCCGTGGTTGCAGAAGTACACCTTCGAGTAGTTTGCTCCAAGGTTTTGATGGGCTTACGGCGGAAAAGAGCATCGTTGGGCCCAGGATGTTGAGTTTGAGTTCGAGGGCGCATGCTGGTTTTTCATGTGTTCCTTGTTTTTCTCCGCAAGTGGGTCCTGCTTGGACAGTTCTGGAGGATTCATCCATTTTTGGGGGCTTCCGACCACGGGTTTCAGCTGATTTTGCCCCCCTCACCAGGAGTGAACGAGTTCTTTTTTGTGGGAGACAAGCTCCATCCAGGAATCGATGTTGCATCTCGTGCATTGTCATTTCATCCCCTAAGGATCCGGGCCCTTGCAAGTCATGTTGTTTTTGAGGCTCCAGTCCCCTGCTGCTATGGATGCTTCCGGACGTCCGATCGTGGGTCGTCATGGGATACGCAGGGGCCTGTTCGAAAGTTTGGGAAAAGGTGATGCCACGAAAGAAACCCTGGGAGTTGAAAGAGGGTGCACAGAATCCTAGGCCTAGCCTTGCCTCGCTTTTCCAAGCCCCAATCAGTACAGCATGGTGTGTGGTTAAAGATGGTTAAAGTAAAATCCACCCCAAACCTCGTGCTCTCCGGATCGGGTGGGCCCCCCAGTGCGGAGATACGGGACCTCGTCAGTTCGGGACCTTGAAAGTTCCTCGGGTGCCAAACTTCCTCGCACGTTCTCAGCCATGTTTGACACTTTGATCGGCCAAAGCATGGCAACCATGGTCAAGATGATTTGGTAAAGTCATGTCATGTGTGGCATGTGATGAGATAATGGCTGTTGACTAGCATCTTCAGGTACATGTGTCGTATGATGTTACATGGTACAGCATTCGCTACCTGAGTTAGACTAAGGCCAGTAGTGATGAAGCGCTCCAATGCCGTGAGCACAAGATTGAGTCTTGCTCTTGTGTCTCTTTTGCTCGACAAGAGGTTATCCTAGCAGAGGCGGAATTTACCCATGACACCGGCCTGGCATGTGATGGCAGCGCTGCCGTCGATGAGCTCATCAGCTTCACTGCAATTGAAACGTCATGACCGTCATGACCCATGTCTATCTGCCCTTGCCGAGTTTTGTGTGATGTCATGACCTCCATCAAACCCCGCCCCGCACCGCTCCAAAGCCGCCCCTGCGCCTCTCTTCTGTTTCCTCGAGGACCTGTCAGGTCTCGGTCGTCCACCGAAGTGAGGAATCGGTGAAGTCTGAGGCCCCGCCAGGATCGGTGCTCTTCGGCCCTTGACGTCTTCTGGCCCAAGGTGACCGACGTGTGGCCATTCATGGGCAAGTTCTTCTTCTTCCGAGACCTTCAGTCTCAGAAGGAAGGACTGAAGGATGGTGAAGTCTTTTCAGATTGGACCAGAGCACGCAACAGTGCCCAGACATTTACCATCACTCGCCAGCTACAAGCTGGCATGTGGGCAGGCCATGCATGTTCCCGCAGAACTGTTCTGTTTGGGGGGCCTTAAGAAGATTCAGCACTTGTGCCATGGCTTTGTGTCCGCTTCTAGGTCTGTGCCAGGTCTTTCTGTCCGATTCGGTGTCTCGAGCTTCACTCGACGTCCAGCTGAAAAACGGACGAGGAGTGGACCTCGCAGGCGTCGCAAGGACCCCCTGGAAGGTTCGGAGAATAGACCAGTGAACCGTAGTCAACCCAGCCAGGGCCAAAGGATCTACCTCTCTCTTCAAATCCACTGAAGCTGTATCCAAGCTCCGCTCACCTCCAATATGTCTCAGAGACCACGTAAACAGTGAAGACTTGCTTCATGGAATAGTTCTTCACCAGCGGCATGTTGAAGAGGACACTGAAAAAGGGCTGAAGGCCCAGAGGACTGCCACTCTGGCTTACAAATTGTTTGAAAAAACGAGGCCGACGCCCGACTCCCACAAGGCCCTGGGTTCGGAAAGATATACGCCTTTCTATATATATGTTATGTATGTATAACTAAGTGCCCAAGAAGTCCAAACAACAGCAGTTTCCGAGTTTGTGCCTGTTGGTCCAAACTCAGTTGCTGACTGTCGGTCAGCTGCAGGGAGCTCAGGATGGACAAGCAGCTTCCCCCCGAGCTCGCTGTTGGCAGCGATAGATGTTGGAAACTCCAAGCTGTTTCGCTGTCACCTCGATGTGTGAAGGGCCGATCTGGACGGAAGCTTCAAGACAGCGATGTCGGCCTGCAGTTTTGGAGTATAGCTGAACATGTTGATGTCAGGCAGGATTCAACGGATTGCTGCTTGCTGGGCTCATGCGACGGATTGCGTGACACAGGCAGCCACTTCAGGTTCACACACTTGGAATATGCTTCGTTCGGTCTGAATGCCACATGCCACACGGCAACCGACAGGTTTTCCAAATTGCGACAGGTTGCCTATGAATCCAAGTTGTAAACACACAATGAGTTCGGTGCCAGTCCTGCGTCTTCCATCTTCACCCTGCCAAGTTGCCAAGTTGCAGTGCTTCCTTCGTGACAAGCTCTGTTGGCCGTCCAAGCTGAAGTGGAGGTCCAAAAAAGGGAAGTTTGGGTTGATCCGCTGATCCGCTGGAGAAGACCCTACGCATGCTTGTCATTGCTTGTGAAGCTACCCTTGAAGCGCCAATGCCTGACGCCTTCAAGGTGTAGTGGCTCAAATGTCTCCGGGAGCACAGTCCATTGTCATTCTGATACAAGCTCATACCAAGTTCGTCATCCCATGGACGATCTTATTCTGGACTTTGCCGATGTGCGAACTTAGGTTTCAACATGGTTTAACAATTCTTAAGTGTCAAATCGATTAATACGCTATATTTCTGGTGCTGCCTTTTGCACCAGAATCGGAACTTTTGCTCACAGGCGGTCCAATATATGTTTCACTAGGCCCACAAGGAGTCCAGAAGTGTCATCTTCCAAAAGGGTGGACAGCCTGAGGGTTTTGCTTTGGCCTTCTTGGCCTTGGTGGCCTTTGTGGCCTTCGTGTCACTGCAGAACTCGGTCCCCCGGTGCTTCGCTCGGTGCTTCGCTAGCGGCGGATTCGCTCGGGGAAGCGGATTCGGGTGTGGCCGCGTCTGGTGCCTTTTTGGAACCGAAGATGCCGAAGAGGTTGGCGTGAGTCATGCAGGAGCCTGCCAGGTTGTTTCGGAAAGAGAGGCCCAAGCTGTTTGAAAGGATTTAGATATATCCGGCCTGTATATACTTAGAGCGGCTTAAAGAAGTCAGATGTCTTGTGCGCAAAAAAGAGATTCGTCCAGAAGCGAAATGCCTGTTGATTGGCCACGGTTTCTGGCACTTTTGGTTTGAGAGCCTGCATGAGCACATGAGAACGCTTTTCACCGGTCGTGATTTGTCCGCAGCCTCCTTCCGCATGCTGCCAGGATCTGCCAGGTGCCCAAGGCTTCCCAAGGCTGCCCAGTATGCTGCGTCTCTCACCTGGCTACCTAAACGGCAAAGTCTTAAAACGCACGGGATTTCATAACCAAATAACAGAAGATCATGTCGCGGATACGTCGAGCTGCTGAGGCTGGAAGATCTATTTGATTGTGAAATAATTGTGAGCAACTCACCAGTTCAGGAGGTTTGCGTCCCAAATCTTGCCCGTGCAAAGGCCATAGCCATCCCCAGCCATGTGTGGCGAGGGCCGACCTTGTCATTGCATTGTGTCGTTCTGTGCCGACCTTGGGCAGCTACAAAACCTGGGTGCCGCATGCGGCTCTCTACCCATGGCATCACAGCATTTGCCTCAAGAAGGCGTCGTTGTCGCTGAAGCGTTTGGCTCCGTGCGCATTCCAGCCAAGTAAGCTTCATTTATAAGGTTATGCGTATATACCAGACTGTTCTTCTGAACCATCGATCACTTATAGCACTCTCACTAGGCAGTCTAGACCTCGTTCTTAGTCTCTTAAGACCTCGTCCTTTGGACCTCGTTCCATTGAACCTCAAAATGTCATGCCAGGCGAGGCCTGGGACGTGGCACCA